AAAAAACAGGTATTTGTATTTAAAAAATTGAACAATATGCTTACCTTGAAACACAAAAATTATATATTTAGAAACCTTCCTGATGGGGCCAGAAATTCTTAAGAATGAGATAATATGTATTAAATATGTAAGAAGAAAAATTCTTGATCTACCTCATGTAAAATTTTTGATGAGGAGCTGGGCTCGCCGAATCCTGCATTAGCGCAGAGAACGAATAAACTTTCACCATCAGTGAATGTGATATCGATCGGAAGTGTTACACGTAGTAGTCGCGACTCCTCTAAACCGATTTTAGCTTCTACATGAAAGTCCTAGAAGGGCAGATGAGATAACATACTTAGCTTCAAGTCGATGACGAAGACTTGCAAACGTGTTGTAATAACAGCAGCAAACTTCCCACAATGGGAAACTGCTAACTGGGAAACGCTTCCACATCCAGCTTAAATGATTGGATGAGAAATATATAACAAAATGACAAAGAAGCAGTTACAATGCTGCAGTAGAAGCTGCGGCTCCTCGCTCGCAAAAGTGGCATCCCACAGATCAAAATCTCCTGTGACCAAAAGCACAGATTCCCCAATAATCTAAAATAGGATCAACCGAACTGAGACGATAAGCAAAGATAGTTTTGAAGTATGGTTGGAAATAATAAACGATGTGGAAGGCGAAAAAAAACACCTTTACTGCTGAAGCGGGTTTTGTGGTTAATTTCTTTCGTATCGTTAACTTTTCTCCTCCCTTTACTATCAAATGATATACAGTAGTACACTCGTTCGTAGACAAGGCCAATACTCTTCCATCTTTTGACAAATCGCTGAATAAAATCGAGAAAGGCTGCATATCTGTTTTGAGATGAACAATCAAAATCCACTACCGAACTTACAGTACCAAAGCTGAGAGAAAATTACCTCGCAACAATCGGCTTCTTTTCAGGACTATAAACTCGTGCCATATAAATTGGTTGCTTTTTGACAGTGACTGATCCTTTGGTGTTTGACTGCTCGTCAATTCCATTCGACCAGAGATCAATGAAGCAATGACCGCGTGACATTACAAATAGTCCTCCAAATGTAAGCAACTTCTAGAAAAGCTATCTTAGAAAAAGGTAACAATATAAAAGAAGACCAATGTAAGCAGTGAAGTTGGATATAATGTTACATTATACTGCTCCGATAAGACTTGGCAACCATCTTTTGCAACAAAAATAGCATGATCTTCTCCAGCGGCGTATATCTGCAATAAGAGCTTTCCAAGATTGCGATTACAAGACCGGTAAACAAAAAAATGTCTCTTCTTAGAATGAAGCGCGGACTCAGTAATTTCTTTTTACACACGTAAAAAAGGAGATAAAACACATTGATCCTAAGGTTCTCGCCGCAGACGTTCAAAGCTACAAGAATAAGCACCTTATCGTCAAAACGCGCCATCGTTCGCACATCCCGCACTGGTCCGTTGCGCTTCTGCACGATGCGAAAATCATTTCCTGTCTAGAATCATCATTTTCAAGCTCATCGGAGCACAAATGCAAAAAGAAGCTTACAATCCGTTTGACACTTATTATTCTCGGATCAACACCTGCAGCATGTACAC